TTTTTAAAATGATATAATTTTTTTTTGTTTTAGTATTTTGAAGTTGACCAATTGTTACTATAAGCAATTAATGATTAACGTAAATCAATTAGCAATTGAAAATGTTCAAGAGGTACGCCTTTTCTTCTTGCACATTTGTCAGACGAGTTCCTTGGCGAGAACAATAATAATTTATTATCTAATTTTCAGGCCAGTTCAAATTCGGCATTTCCATTATTTGTTTTTTGTTCAGAGCTAGTGATATATAACGATTAGCATCAATTATTTAATTACAAAAAAAATTTTATTTATTTAAAAATAACAATAAGCAAGTCTTTAAAAAAAAAAGTTGCAAAAAAAGAAAAAATTGCATCAAAATTTTTTTAAAAAATATATGTCAGCAATATATAAATATTTTTTTTAACTCTTTTTTGTGCACATTCCATATGGTCTAACATCAGTATCTCTAGGTGAAATCCAAAATTCTCCACAATTAGTGTCGGCAGCAGAAAGAATCGATAAGGTTGCAGGATTTACTCGATTTTGAAATACGACACGATATTCAGCACCATTATGAACAAATTTTTCGGCATAACGAACTGCAACATTGATATCTGGTGTAGAATAAATTCCTGTACTATAGGGGAAATTCTTCCCTGCACTATGTTCATAAGCATCTTGTGCCATGGTTTTACCATTAAAGGTTCCAGTTCCATGATAACTGACAGGCCATTCGTCAGCCTCAGATGCGTATCTGAATTTATGTGTCACCTAATGATGTTAATAAGAATTGTTTATTATTATTACTGTTTATTATTGTTATATTATTATTATTATTATTATTATTATTATTATTTAAAAAATAAAATCTAGTACTTACACCACCTAACCATTTATTATCTTCGTATTTATTGGTCACTTGAAGTGCGATTCTATTCCAACCACATGGACGTCTATATTGGAAATTTCCACGCATAAACGTAAGCCCAGTGTCACGAACCGATGTAAAATCAAAATCAAACTTAGGATTTAAAGCATCCTCTGGAATAATATAACTGATGGCTCCTCCTCCTCTTAGTCTCAAAACAAGATGAAGTGTAGAATCTTTCATGATGTTATAATCACTAAGAGTACGTCCGTCCTCTAATTGTTTGCCAGCAAAAATCATTCTTTGTTGATCTGTTGGGATTCCTTGAGAATTTTGAATTTGACGTTTCAATTTGTCAATTGTTGTTCCTGGCGTGACCGTAAATTTTATAGACTTTCCAGTTAAAACTCTAACAATAATTTGCATTCCATTTGGAGGAGCAGGAATGTCTTCCTCGTCATCAGCATCCATAAGATTATCAATCTTAAAATCTGGTTTTACGGCTAAATCATTCAAATCAGTTGAGACCAAACCGCCTACCTAGAGTTAAAAATTATGATATAATAAAATTTTGCGTTATTATGCTGATATCGTACTAAATATCACTAAATTGGGTTTGACTATCGGTATTTAATAGTGTTATATCAACTTGTATAATTAAACAATTGCTCCAATCCAAACACCTACCAATGAAGATTTGTGTAAAGCATCATTATCTAAATTTTTAAATAAAATGCCGCTACTTTTATTTTTTAAATATTCGTCGTGAGAAACGACTGTTTGATTGGTTATAATCGAAAGTGCTGATGCAAGAAGTTCTGCATTTCTGTTAACCATCTTTGTAAAGATATTGTAAAGAACAAACGTATAATGATGATTATTATTATTTCATTCAATGCTTATTTGGAAAGCAATGCTTTATTCACCTTTTAATATTAAAAAAAACTGTAATTCTTTATTATCGTCAAGAGTGAGACTATACAATAAGATAAGTATGCAATATTAATTGACTAAATAAAATATATAAATATCTCATGTATTTTTATTTAATAAATAAATTTAAGGTTTCAACGTACGATAATTTTCTTTATAAAAAATTTTTGAAGAGAAAAGGGAGAGAGAGAGGTAACAATAAAAAATTTTTAGAGTACCGTTTATATATAAAAATCTTTGAATGACGTTATTATGTACATATTTATTAATATTTTTCTAAAAAAATAATCACGGAATCAAATTTAATAGTGTTCCGTTTTTTTAAAATAATTATTATAACTATTATATATTACTACATTATTGGACAAATTATTACCATAACAAAACATTCATTTTAAAATTTAAAATTTGGAAAGAACACAAAATGATGTCGACTTAATCAGATCGTGTGATTTCCCATTCGTGTAACCAAAAAACAAGTTTTATCGTTTTATTAAAATTCTATTATATTATATTATTATTATTATTAAATAATTTTATGATTTAATACAAGAGCCCAATACAGGCGTTGTAGATGAAGTGGAATCATTTGTTGTTTCGTGATGATGTGAATCCATATGATTATGTGAACCCTTATGACTACTAGATTCTATTAAATTTGGATTATTATTGTGGTGATGGTGGCCGTGGTTATGATTATGATGATTATGATTATGATTATGATGATTATGATTATGGTTGTGATTATGATTATGATTGTGATTATGATGAGAAGAAGATGATGGTTTAGCTCTATTATGTTGTAAATGTGATTTAACCAAATGACCTGCTGCCAATGCAGAGCATAAACTCAATTCACCAGCCATAACAGCTGCACATATAATTCTTGCTAATTTTTGTGCATTTTTTCCAGGTGTAGTTGGATGTGCACCTTTTACACCCAGCATTTCTAACATTGAACTTTGTGCTTCTAGTATAGTACCACCTCCCAATGTGCCAACTTCTATCGAAGGCATAGTACAAGTTAAATGTAAGTCTTGTCCATTGTTAATTCTAAAAAAATGTATAATTATATAAAATAAAATGTCATGATGAAATTGTTATTATATCATGATATGAATTATTATATAAAAATTATACATACGATTTCATCATTGTTATACAATTGGAACTTTCAACATTTTGTGCAGGATCTTGACCAGTCGCGATATAGATGGCAGTCAAAATATTAGCAGCGTGAGCATTAAAACCACCAATACTACCAGCCATCGCAGATCCAATCAAATTCTTGGAAGTGTTTAAATCCACCAGATTTTCCACACTAGTCTTCAATACTTTTTTAACTATTTCACCCGGTATGATTGTTTCGGCAACAATAGATTTACCACGTCCCTCAATCCAATTAATAGCAGCTGGTTTTTTATCAGTACAATAATTGCCGGATAAAGAAACTATTTGCATATCAGGAAAGTAGTCCAACATTGTTGATAAAGATTTCTCGCAACCCTTCGATATCATATTCATTCCCATTGCATCACCTGTTGTGGTTGAGAATCTGATGAACATCAGTTTTCCTGATAGCGTGGATTTGAGTTTTTGTAATCGGGCAAACCTTGAAGTTGAATCAAATACTTTCTTGACAATCTCACTACCCTCACCTTCCAACCAGGTTTTAGCCTCGTTCGCTCGGACAATATTAGGAAATTCCACACATGGACCTCTTGTCATACCATCATGTGTCAATACAGTTGTAACGCCACTACCCATATTTATTGCCTTGCAACCTCTTGAAGTAGAAGCTACCAGGCAACCTTCAGTTGTAGCCATTGGTATATGAATCAATTCATTGTCAACATTCAATGGACCAGCTACACCAACAGGTATTGGAATATAGCCTATTACATTTTCACAACAAGCACCCAAAACTTTACCGTAATCATAGTTTGATATTGGTAACAAAGAATTTTCCAAAGTTTTGGTTATTGATGATCTGGAGATAAGAGCTCGACGTATTTTCACTGCTCTTTCCAAGTTATCTGCTGAAATTTTCTCCAATGAATATGAAGATATTTTGCCGGCATTCAATAACGATAGTATTTCTTCATCTTTTAATGATGATGAACCTTGTTCTTTTAATATCGTTTCACATTCCTCAATTGATTGAATATTTGTTGTGGCGGAATCAGTAGTTATTGTGGTGGTATCTGTTACGGTAGTATGTGTTGATGTTTTTGATTCATCATTTACTATTATTGATTTTGATTCATCTTGATTTTTAACAATATTGTTGTTGTTGTTCTTATCACTATTATTATCATTATCATTATCATTATTAGTAATATTCTTATTATCAGGATTTTTATTATTATTACTATTATCGGTATCTTTAACACCTGATTTATTTTTATTTTTCAGTTCACTATCTAGTTTCTCTTCTTCGTAATGTTCATCACAATGATTTTCATGATTTTTGTTTGCATCACTTTTAGGCTGCTTATGTGAATTTAACAAGTAAACGTTTAACACAAGTGAAAACACCAAACCTACGCTAATCCATTTGGATAATACAGGATCTTGTACAAATAAGGACCAAAAATTCATCAACGCATCAAAACTATTATAAAAAAGTTTAATAACGTTGAAACTGTGATCATAATCAGAATCGATGCCGCTACCGTAGTGATTGGCCCAAATGGATTTAGAGTTGGAAGAATCTAAAACTTTAAAGGTTAAAGGTGAGGTGACGTGAACCAATAATGGTAGATTTAAATTGCTTGAAGATTGAAGAGGTTGATGTTGATTTAGTAATGAAGTGAGTGGTAATTGAAGTGGCGGAGAGTTAAGATCGAATTCGGAAGGAGGAAGAGATGATGATGAGTCAAGTTCAGAAAAAGGTAAAGATGATAATGTTGGTGTGGTGGTGGTATTAATTGGTGTCATAGAAACATCATTGTTTGAATGTAAAGTTGTACAGAAATTTAAAACATGCATTATAACAAATCCAACAATCTATGATGATTTTTTTTAAAATTATAATATGTTAATAAAAAAATTACAAATCAGTAAATAAATGAATATATTAATAATCACATACAATCAATAATTTAACTCTAGCAATCGTTGGATTATCATACTTTTTGGCTTCTTCAGTTTCTACAGTGTTATCACGGAATGCTTTAATAATGCTTTGTCTGATGCTTGATGGACTACTGGTGATTACATCTCTTTCTGTAGATTTTTTTAATACTTTGGCTTCTCTGATCCTTTTCAACTATATCAAAAAAATCGGATATTAGTATATTTAAAATTATAAAGTAAATTATTATATATATATAAATTATTACCTCAAGTTTAAGGGTTAACATCGCAGTATAAAAAGTGAACAAGAATAAACAATCATACAAAAGAATGAAAGCAGCCAAAAAACAAAATTCTTGTAATCCTGATACACCAGACATTGCGCCAAAGAATAATACAACGATTTCAACAAAATAATCTCTGACTATATTTGGACCTTCTTTGGTTACACCAGCTATTACACTATCACGAACATTGAATGGAATTATATCAGATAGCTTTTCTTCGATTGAAATTAGAGATGATGAAGTGGAGGAAGACGGTGATGAAGTGAGTACAGCTTTCGTTAAAGCGAATGGTTTTTCAAATCCCACTGTTATTATTAAAAATGGAATTGCTTCGCTATGATTTTTTTAGATATTTTAAAAGTTTGAGGAATAAAAAAAAAGGATGGTTATTTACTATATGATGTGTGTGGTGTATATGTATTAAAATATTTTATTGACTTGTTTATTTACCTGAGTAAAATCGGATTAACAAAGGCGCCAAATAAATTAATTGTTAATAAAGCCAACATGAATGCAAAGAAACCATTAGATATAACACATAATGCTATTCAACATAAAAATGATAATAATGATTATTACCGGTCACGTGACTTTTAAAAAAACTCGAAAAAAATTAATAGATCAATCAGTAAACATACCTAAAGCAATTTTAGAACCAATTTTTCTCATATTAAGGAATAAAGATAAGAAAGTAAGAAACATTAATATGTAACCGGCTAATATTACCATAATATCTATGGTTTTGGCATTCTAATATTATCATATGGTATAAAATAATAAAATAAAGAATTACATTAATAAAGTGAACAATAATAATAGCCTTATTATTGCCAGCATTTTTGTTACCTGAATTAAATCACGAATTTTAATAATTAATTTGCCAATTACAAAAGCCATCCAAGTAATTGATCCTTTTTCGAGCATTTTTTTTTTGTTGTTGTTGTTGTTGGTCTTTTTGTTGTTATTATTATTATGATAATAATCGTTTGAAATAAATTCATTGAATTGTAAAGAATTTATCTTGTCCAACCATAATTTAATAAGATAATTATAATGGTTATTATTATTGTCAAACATGAATGTTAGAATAATTGACAAATTTCCATCTTTATTCTCTATAAATTCCAAAGTATCATCATCTGTAGTTAAACATTTTGATTCATAGGTTTCCGAATGAATTTTATAACATAGATTATTATAATATAAATTGTTGATTCCATCAGTTGAAATGAAAATTTCTTTTTCAATTTTATTTTTGAATTTTTTTACAGAATTCAAGAAGCTTTCTTTTTCATCATCATCATTATTCTCATCGTTCTCGCTATTATTATTACTATTTTTGTAATCATCGAAAATTTTTTGAGTGTTGATAACAATTTGAGTTAGTTGAATATTTTCGACGTCTTTGTAATCGATTTTTTCATTTAATCTAATAAATTTATTTGTATTTGGAAAAGAAATTATCTTTAAATTATCTTTAACATGATGATTTAAGGAAGAGGTGGAAATAGAAGGAGTGGAAGAAGAAGAGAGATCATTCAATAAATCGGATTCTATTAAAGATTGAAATAAAGATGCGTAAGAAAAAGATGCAATTATCAAACAAAATACAATCATCTCAATTGGATTTTTTGATGATTGTTTCGATGCATAACGTAAAAGTTTTTTTGCTATTGAAGATATCATTTTTTTTTTTTTTATTGGATTAATTAATTGGATAATTTAAATTCATAAAGTTTAACGCGTTTTATTTGCTTGAAAAATTTTTTATAATAGTCAAGGATTGTTTGTACAGTAACGAAAGGAAAAAAAAAATACAAAAATTTTTTTAAAAAAAAATTTTTTATACACAATTTATATATTAATTTGAAATACAAGATTGTATCACACAAAAAATATTGTTAATAAAATATTGTTTTAAAAATTGAACATAGCCATTTTAGAATGCATATAATGCAAGCAAATTATCTCAAATAATAATAAAAAATTTTGGTTTTTCGGGGAATGACATGCAGTAGATTCAGATATGCGTATGATATAACGTGAATAATAACAGGTTTCTGATAGTTTGTATGCGTGCGTGTAAATTATTTATCAATACACTATTATATGAATTTAGTGCAACATTGTCATAAATTATAACAATATTTAATATTACTCATTTTTCATCCATAGAATAAATACATTGGATGAATTTAATTAATCATGGATAGAAAGAAAATAAATTAAAAAGAAATAATTATTTATTTTTCTAAATATAGCGTTGTAAGTAGTTGTGTTTAAAAGGTTTTTTATCTTAACTCCCAATCAAGACAAAACCGACCTCAAGGGATTCTCTGACTTTTTACTGGCAACAAAAAATATTTAAATATTGTGTGCAACTGAACCATAAAATGATTATAGTTTCTGTGAAACAATGAATAAAGATACGTTTCACGATTGTTTACAAATAACATCAGTGTTATCAACTTAAAATTTTAAGTTGGATGGTGCATTGAAAAGCGATTAATCCTTTTTTTATTTTTCTAATAGATAAAACCCCAGAATTTTTTGAGAAAATTAATAATACCTTTGATGACAAATGTTATTTTCGTAATACTTAAATATAAAATTGCTAATTCTGATATTTCCTAATTAAAATTATATTTCGACAAAATTAGTTTCACCTTTTTTGGTTGTAATTTCCACAAATTTGCCATTTGGAACTGATTCATTTTGATTTGACCAATCATACAATTTCCTAACAATAAAAATCATTTACTAATGGTTGTAATAACAATACTAATAATACTATTATTACTTACTTGGCTATAACATCTAAAGGTGTAAAATTAGAAAAATCAGCGTTGCTCATACTTTGACGATTTGCTGGCGTATCAATTGTTGTTCTAGAATTAATTTACAATGAAAGTTGGTCATCAACAATATTAGTTTTAATTTTACAAATTTTCTTTTTGTTCATTCCAACTTACGGTAAAATCCCAACAACTTTTGAATTGTTAGGCAGGCCACTTCCTTCAGCTGACAAGCTAAGTATTAGATGATGCACTGTTGCTTTTGAAGCACCATATCCAATAAAAGCTGATTTTTATTTTCCCAAAAAATATTTATTAAAAAAAGGATTTTTTTTTTCTGGGAGGGGTGAATCAATATTAATGATTGATTGATACCAACCAGGTGTTCCATATAATCTTGGATAAGATGCACCAGTCAATAATAAAAGACCTCCACTAATTATTATTCATGAAAGGTGATATATTAATAAAATGACATGTGAATAATAAATCTTCAGAACAAAAATAAATAAAATAAAACGATCAATACTCTTTAAGATGTTTTGCTGCCAACTGTGAAGCAACTAATGAAGAATAAACTGATTTTCTTAACATTAGATCTGAATTCTTTAAAAAATCTAAAACATTATTTTTAATAATAATAATAAATAATGATGATGATTACAATGATTATTATTATTATATATTCATTCACTCTCTCACCCACCAATTTGTTCATCGCCACCCTACACTTATCCCAATCACTCACAAACAATTACCTTTATCTGCAGCATTCCCCATCAAAAAACCACCAGCAACACATAAAATTGCATTGTATTTATTTCCTTCGCCACCAGTTGATTTTAATATTTCAGTGGCTTGTCTCAATACCTTATCTCCTTGTACTTCTAAAGTATCACCAATTGACACAATGATATTATGATTTGCTTCTGAATTATCTAATGTGCCAACAGAAGTAACCTCCTATTTAAATTTATTATTATAATTAAAGATTTGATCCACATGTGTATTGTCTGTCAGCTTTTCTCCCCATTTCAATCATGATAATTACCCAGTTATTTTTCTTAAAGTGCTTAACTAAAGCTGCACCTAAACTTCCAGTACCTCCAAATACTATTACTTTGGGAAGCATGTTTTATTAAAAATTGAACACAACACAAACGTGAGAATTTTAAACCAATTTTGGTGGTACAATGTGTTACATTGACCTCGATGACAAACATTGTTGCATTGATTGCAGGAAGGGGTTGAACAGTGAAAGATGAAAGAGTTATAAATAAATAAATAAATAAATAAATAAATAAAGAGAATGTTTCTTCCTTTTTTGATTAATAAACGGTTGTTAATTTTTAAAAAGATTAATTATTGTTGGTCATTTCTGATTCTAGAAAGGCAGGCGAAATGGGCATAATTAATCATTGTGATTAAAAGGCGTACAATTTCTTCTTGCAAAACTATGATTTTATGGTCATGTGACGAATTCACGCGAACAAATGTATAATTCTACTCCTAATTGTTTTGAGATATTCTGCAAAAAGTTTGTAATAAAAGATGCTAAAAACTTTACGAGAGAGACTCAAGAGTTTCTAAAGTGAACTGTAAAACTATTACTGAAGAAGATACGTATCTTGATCCAATACTAACTAATCGTTGTTGAATGAAACGAGGTTGGCCTATGACAATGCCAGGTTCATAAATCTAACGTAAAGCGCAGAACTTAAATACTCTTTCTTACTGAAATTATCTCGAGTTAACAGTATGTTTGAAAACATATGTTCTCTCTGTATTATTTTCTAACTTTATTTTTTTTTGGATCAGTGATTCAAGGACTTTTAATGCCACTCAACCATTCTCCCAACCAATCTGAATCTATCTTTTACATTGTTGCTACTCACTCTCATGGAGTATATGCAAATTGCTGTTGATATTATCACCAAGTATATTGGGAAGAGTTTTGTAGTAAATATTTATTTGAAGTTGTGGAATTTTCTGATTTATTTGAGTTTTAAAGCAATGCATACTAGTTAAAATAATGGTTTAACAAACTTTATTATTATATTCCTATTTTGAAAATATGTTTCTGATGTTTGTGGGTTGGGCCAATGTTGGAAAATACGTCCAATGTGCCCAAACATCCAATCAGTTTTTTTATTGGACCTTGCGCAACAAATTCACATCGGCATATTGGACAGCCTAATATGCCAACATTCTTAATATTAACAAGTAATCTGCACTGATGTTTTCGTCACATCTAACACAAACTTTGGTTTTATGAATTTCAAAACCTGGCGCATTAAAAAACAAGGAATCATGCACAATTCATTATGTGGTAACAATGAATTTTTTGTCGTGGATGTCCTTTAACGTATTTGAAAGAATTGAAATGCATAATTGACTCTTTATTAACATGCATGACTCTATGGCCAGGGCAAAGAAATTTTATTTTAGTCCGGAAATCCCTGCTTATTTTTGATAATAAATCGGCGGCCATAATTAATATGCACTATTTTAAAGTTTTTTCCTAAAAATTAAATTTAATAATAATGTTCATAGTTAAAACTCCAAAAGAAGTTCCAACGTTAGGATCCAGTGTTGCAAAGTCACAGGGCAATATTAAGAAACATATCAAGAAAGACATTTTGGGTCCAGGAGGTAGTTATTTGGAACAAAAAAAAACTATATATATAATAAATATATCAACGAAATAAATAATTACCAAAAATTTTTTTTTAAAATGTATTTTTTGCACTAGTTAAAATACTTGATCGTAAAGATTATCAAAGTTTTGCGCCAACTTATGATTCAAGTGACTCGGTCTTTTCATTTGAAAATACAATGCTGGTGGAATCTTTTAGAAATTATCTTGGTCAAAATATTGATGATGATGATGATGATGTTGACGTTGATGTTTATGATGAAATAGGTGAAGATATAATTATGAATGAAGATAATGATGAAAATCAAAATGATGACGATGTTGATGTTGATGATGTTGATGACGTTAATGTTGATGTTGATGTTGATGTTGATGTTGATGTTGATGAAAATAATAATGATGATGTTGATGATGATGAAAAATTCAAGAAAGCATTAGAATCAAAATCAGATGATCAAGTCATTACACTGCCAAATAATAATAATGATGATGATGATGATGATGATGATGATGATGAGACAAGCGTTGAAGACCATGAAGAAGACTTTGAAGAAGAGTTTGATAAATTATTGGATGAAAATTCAAAATTACATGCTCGTTTGATAAGTTTACAAAAAGAAAGATTTCTAAAGAATCCCAATGAAATATCCGATATTGAAATTGAAATTGGTAATATATAAATAAAATATTATAAATTTGATTTTTATTTATCAAGTGGTTTATGTAAATATATATTTATCTATTCCTTTTTTTTGGGGAAAGAACAAAAATTACGCGGTAACTTGGTTAAATTATTTGGTAAAGTATCGCCGAATGATCTATTAACGCCTTTCAGTATTGAAAAAACCATGGATTCATTGACAACATGTGAACCATTGGTTAAAGGAAAATTTCCACCAAATTCATATCCAATTAAAGCGTTTCCAACACAAGTTTCTAAAGAAATGGTATCAACGACTCATCCATACAATAATAATCAGAAACAGCAACAAACTTCTTCTCAACGATATCATCATAACCTTCGATCTGCTAGTAGAAAAATGACCAACACAACTGCTTCTTCTAATATCGGATATTATCAACAACAGCAGCAACAGCAACAACAACAAAAACAACAATATCAGCAACAACAATACTCGTCCAATTATAATACATACTCAAATAATAATAACAATTATTATTATCCTAATAATTATTGACCGACTGTTTTGTTCTTAAAACATTTCTTAATTTGTAAATACTCTTATTTAGAAAACATTGTTAGAATGCATTTATTTCTTTTCTAATTAAGCAATATAATTGCAGTAATAATAACATGATTAAAGTAATAAATAAATACAAATTTTTTTCAAAAGAAAATCTAAAGATCTTCACTGTAAATTATTAGATTTTCTTTTCACCATTCTCTTTTCATCCAGAAAACTATTTCCCCTTCTGCCACTCTAGATTCTTTATCCCTAATTCAACAGCACAATGTCCCCAATCAATTCCGTGATTATGACTATCAGTACTGGATCCTAACCCAGCTCTTTCTAAAGCTTGCTCGTCTGTTAAACAAGTAAGCACACCAAAAACACAAGGTACTCCGGTATCTAATCCAACTCTCATTATTCCATGACTAACTGCATCAGCAATATATTCAAAATGCATAGTTGATCCTTTGATTAACACTCCAATACAAATGACTGCATCATACTTTACATTATTGCGTCCAGAAATAATGTTTTTGGCAGCAATAGGTAATTCATATGATCCTGAAACAGATTCAGTTATGATATTTTGTCTAGATACATTATATTGTGAAGTCATGGTTTCAATTGCTCCATTAACTAATGCCTCCACTATTTTATAATTCCACCGAGTGTGTACAATTAAAATTTTTAATTCTCTACCATCATATTTTTCATTTGTAAGGGTAACACCCTTAGTAAAATTTTCCATTTCTTGAATGCAATATTATTTGTGTGGAAATATTAATAATATACTGTACAACAATAGAAACAATGAAATAAAGATCATCTTAATTAATATGTAAATTGGGGTTGAACCGTCAATTATTATATAAACTATTATTTCAACATAAACAATCAAATGTCAAATTCCATTTATTGAATTCCTTGTGAAAGCAAAAAAGTCCTTGACAATGAGTGTTTGTGAGTCCGAGTGAATGAAATTGATTAATAAATTGTGTATTTTATAATCAAAAATATTGAAAACAGCGAGATTGGATTTAATTATTATTATTAGTCGCATGACATTGTCGTTCATGAAAAAATGAAAAAGAAAATCTTTAATGTGATGCCATTTTTGAATAGCCATGGCTTTACATAAAGAGCCCCTTTCGATATAAAAAAATATTCACTAGAAAGCTTTAATGGTGATAATTTTATTTTGTTTAATAACGAAAACAATGAGTCACTTTAAAAAAGACTGTTACACGGGTCTATTTTTTATTTTTACAATATATACCCGAAACAGTTTCGGTAAACTGTCTAGTTTAGGTTTCGGGTTATAAAACCTAAACCAACACCAAACCATAAATCCATATCCGAAACCTAAACCTTACCAAAACTTAAATCCAAACCAATTTACATTTCTATTTGTGTTCAGGGCAATGAAAGTAATAGTGAATCCATTGATACAGAATCAGATATTGATCTTGACGATTATGAATATTATGATAACCATAATAGAGATATTGATTTTCTAATAGAAGACTACATAGATTTAAATAATTCTTTATTTAATTATGAAGGTAGTAACAAAAATGAAATTGATATAAGTGTAGAGAATTTACAACATAATGAAAATTATATAACCCCAATGATTGGTTTCCAATTTTTTTGATGTGATATGTGAAAATGATATTAATACTGCAAAAAGAAAAAAAAGAATTAATTGTGATACTGATGAGGAAGATTTGATTATGATTCACATAATTTAGGTTTGGATAATGAAGACAGAAATTGCAACGAAAATAATAATGATGAAATTCAAAGTTTTGAAAAAATTAATGATGTTGGTGAAAAAATTAGTAATATTAATAGAAGAGGGGTTGAAAATAACATTGATTTATATTTAAGTAATGATGAAAGTTCAGATAATGAAGATAAAAGGAAAAATCTAAAAATACACCAAAAAAAAATTTTACATTAAGGAAAAGAATTAAAAAAAACTATAAAGATTTAAAAATAAAAAACAATAACAATAAAAGTTTAAAAAATAAAATAATAGCAATTAAATTGGTAATATTTTGTAAAAACAAAATAATTTTGACATAGAAAAATAGTTATTGTTTGGTGCAAAAATAGTTCAGAAAATAAAAATAATTTGTTGGTATAAAATTAGTTCAGTAAGTTTTGGTAAGAATTTAGGTTTCGGGTTAGGGTTTAGGTTTTGATGATTTTTTTGTGTTTTGTTTCACCTATACTCAAAAGTTAAATTTTTTGAAATATTATGTGATCCACACATTGGATTTTAAAAAACCCACCGTCATTCAATTCAGCTTTAAAAAGTGAGTCTATTAATCTTAAAAAAACATTTGTCTCAAATTTTCTTTCCGTAGATTTAAATACAATAATTTTCGTGTTACAATATTTTGAATCTCACGACCAAATTTGGTAACGATTTTCTTTTAATGTAATATGTTTGTTAAGCTTTTTTGTTGTAAAGAACTTTTATTTATTAATAAAAAGGAAATAAATAAATCAAATAAATCAAATGTATGCTGTAGAAAATGTTTTATGAAAAAAAAGTTTTTACGCGAAATTTACTTAGTCTCAATTTCTTAGATGTATAACAAAATTCTGAATTTTCAAAATGCTAAGGCTCTGCCAATTTTCAGTTTAAGAAAAAACCAGCCGATAAGTTTTGAAGCTTGAGCCATGAACAATAAAACTTATCGGTTAAATTTTTTAAAATGATATAATTTTTTTTTGTTTTAGTATTTTGAAATTGACCAATTGTTACTATAAGCAATTAATGATTATAGATGATCTGCACCGTAGTGAACATGATAACTTTTCGCCAAATAACACAACATTAGTTGGAATGGCTATCAAACTAAAGAATCAGCTACTGAATAACCCTAAACTTATGCTGTTTATAACCAAAAATTTAAATTTATTCTTATAGAAACAATTGAATTAATCATTGTGTAAGGTTTCATCCTTTAGCCAGTGAAAAACTGAAATTTATCATCGATGGTGATTTAACTTAAAGGATAATTATATATATATATTAAACAAGGAATTAAAACAAAACAAATAAAGCGATAGAACAAATAAAGCGAATAATTCATTGAATACAAATTTTTGTAGCACGTCTATGTAACAATCAGACCAGCTGTTTACATGGATTATGTATAAAATGAATGCCTCCCATCTCCGACCTTTGCTACTGTTGTACGTGAAAATGAAATTATGTGAATTTGCAATTCACATATGTGAAATTCAAATTTACATGCGTGAAATTCAAATTAGCCAATCAGAATTTCACCCC